AGTCGACGACCGAACTAGACGCGAGGCGACCGCGCTCCACGTCGCAGCCCAGAACAGTCAGCCCAAGATGTGCATGCTTCTACTGAGTCGCGGCGCATCGATCGACGCGCGCAACTACAAGGCCGAATTCCCCGAGACCATCTTGCGACGCTGGGGCCGCAAGGCCTTCGCCGACTTCCTCGCCGCCGTCCGCGCAACTGGCGGCTGGCTCCCCTACGTCAACGCGCCACGCAAGGAACTCCTCGCCCTCCGCCAGCGGCTCCCGGCCCTCCGCGACCGCGGCCGCGCGGCGCCGTCGTCGAGCGTGCGCGCGCACGAGCGGCTCTTCCTGGACACGCCCGAAGACATCTTCACGTCGGTCCTCGCCTTCTGGCCCAGCGGCCGTGACTACCAAGAGAAAGACTGGATGTAACGCAAAAGACCGCGCTAGACGCGCGCCAGGGACGCGGCCCCGGCCGTGATGCGGGCGATGGCCGCCATGTCCTCGACGTCCGCGCGCGTGCGGCCGCGGTTGAGGATGCAGATGGGGAGGCCGTCCGCGTGCGCCCTCCGGACGAAGCGGAAGGCCGAGTAGACCGCGAGGGACGTGCCGACGCAGAGGAGGCCGTCGGCGTCGGCGACGGCGTCGTAGCAGGCCTGGACGCGGGCCGCGGGCACGTTGTCGCCGAAGAAGACGACGTCGGGCTTGACGACGCCGCCGCACTCGCCGCAGGCGGCGACGTCGTCGAAGCCCGCGACGTCGTCGTCCGCGTCGTCGAACTCCTCGTCCATCAGGTCCGCGTCGCCGTCGGGCCGCAGCGCGTCCCGCGCGCCGGCGCCGCCGCGCAGCGCCGCGGCGCGCGCCGCGAACGCCGGGTTGCGGCGCTCGAGGTCCGCGTGGTACGCCGACCGGCACCCCTCGGCGCCGCAGGACGTGCACCGCACGCGGTAGCCGCGGCCGTGGAGCGGGATCACGTTTCGGGACCCCGCGGCCTCGTGGAGCCCGTCGACGTTCTGCGTGATGACCGCGGCGATCGTCCCCCGCCGCTCGAGGTCGGCGAGCGCCGCGTGGCCCGCGTTCGGCGCCGCGGCGCGGAACGCGTCGTAGCCCACGAGCGCGCGGGCCCAGTAGCGCTTCCGCTTCGCGTCGACGCGCATGAACTCGTCGTGGGACACGGGCGTGTGGCCCTTGCGGTACGAGCCCTCGGCGCCCCGGTAGTCGGGGATGCCGCTGTCCGTGGAGAGGCCCGCGCCCGTCAGCGCGACGACCCTCGACTTGCCCCGGAACCAGGCCGCGAGCTTCTCCGACGCGCGCGGGTCGTCGGCGCCGGGCGCCTCCTGGAGCAGGGCCTCGAGCTTGCCGCCGAGGGTGACGCGCGCCTTGAACGGGCTCGCGCCGCCCGAGGCCGTGGGCTTCGCCGCCAAGCTCGACGCGCGTCGCGTCGTGAGGAGGAGCATCGCTATCATAGAGTGTTTTTGGCGCCTTGTGGCAGTGCTGGGGGTCAAGTTTTCGGAGCCATAATTGGCAGAGCTGGCAAAAAAAAGGGGAAATTTGCGTTCAAGTTACCTCACTTTGAGCTCGCAGCCACTCTCAATTTACGAAGAGTGGTGCGGGGGTGGGCCGGACTTCGTCCGGAGCATTGGCCGGAGGTGCGGGCGGCATATTTACAAGTGCGGCGGCGCGTGGCAGCGCAGCGGCGCGCGGTAGCAACGCAGCGCCGCGTCTCAGTAGCCGGGCGGCGAAGCCCAGGGCGGGGCCGCGCCTCTCGCCTAGCAGAAGCCTCGACGGTAGCCGACTCACGGTCTATAGCGATTGGCGGCGGCGGCTCCTACGTTCGCGCGGCTCGGCAGGTTTGGCCGGGGGTCCTCCGAGGCCCACGAGATTTGGCTCGCCCGATTTTGGACGAGCTGCTCGCCGCAGCAGCGCCTGCGCCTCCGTGCGCGCCTCGTAGGTGGGCATGACGCGCGGATCCTCGGTCCAGTGCTGGCCCGGGACCCAGTTGGGGAACGTGCGCACGGTCGTCGTCGCGAGGCTCCGCGCCTCGACGGTGGCGACGATGTCGCTCGCCTCGCCGTCGCCGTCGGCCTTCTCGTCGTCGTCCGCCGCGCCGGCCGCAGCCAGTGGCGCGACGGAGGACGGCGACGCCGCCATGCCCTTCGCGCTGCGCCCAAACGCGCCCCTGTCGCCGTGGCCGTCGTCGCCGACCGCCTGCGAGCCCAGGCGACGGCCACTACGCGATGCCGACAGGCACTGCGAGTACTCGAGCGGGGCAGCCACTGGCGGCCGAAGTTTTCCCCATACAGGGTGAAGTTTCCCCCAAGCTTAACTAACCCTAGCGCCGCTTGCCCTTGAGGCAAATGGCCATGGACAGGAACCAGACGTCCGCCCGGGCGCACCCGGCCGCCTCGAGGACGGTGAGGGGCGTCTCGCCGCGGGCCTTGAGCGTCTTGATGCCGTCGTCCTCGCCCTTCCCGAGGACGCCGAGGACGCGCGTCGCCTCGCGCCAGGTCGTCCGGGCCTGCGCCGGGCAGCGGAGGCCGAGGAGGGCGGCGGCGCGCGTGGCGAGCCACCGGGCGTTGTACTCGCCGACGAAGCCCACCTTTGGCCCGCTCGCCAGCGCCAACTCCAGGTCGGCGAAGACGGGGCAGGCGACCGAGGCGTCGACGTTCGCGCCGAGGCGCGCGATGGCCGCGAAGCTCTGGCCGCTGTGGTGGAGCGCGGAGACGCGGTCGAGGAGCTGGCTGTTGTGGCCCAGGAACTTGACGGCCATCTTCGGGCCGTGGATCAGGCCCGTGAAGCCGATGTTGAGCTTGTTGATGCGCGTGAAGTCCGCGTCGTCGAGGGACTTCAAGATCTTGCGGAGCGCCTTGCGGAGCGCGGTCGCGAGGTGGTTGCGCTTGACGGTCGGCTTCGCGAGGAGCGCGCGGACGTCGCGAAGCACGGCCCCCCGGCACGGGGGGTCCTTGACCACGAGGACCGCGAGCATGAGCATGTCGAAGATGAAGTCGCCGTGGCGCTCGAGCATCTCCCTCATCTCGGCCTCGATTTGTGCGTCGTGGACGATGTCCGCGGGCAGCATGTCGACCACCGCGAGCGCCTTCAGGCTGTCGACGGTCGTCGCGAGGACGACGTCCGAGTTGCGCAGCTTGGCCGTCGGCCGCGGCGCGGCGGCGGCCGCGCGCTTCCGAGACCGCGGCGCGGCGGGGTCCAGGCGCTTCCGGAGCCGCGGCCCGAAGACGGCGGCGCGCTTCTGGCGCCGCGGCATGCCCAGCACGACCGCGGCCTCGAGGCCGTGGCACCGGAGCGCGGCCTCGGCGCTCTCGTTCGGCACCTTCTGGTGCATGGCCGCGTGGACGTCCGGGTCGACGTCCGCGAGGCAGTGGCGCCCGTCCATGTGCTGGCGCACGCCGTCGTCGAAGATGACGTCGTAGGTGCCGTTGCGCCGCACCTCGCGGATCGTGCCGCCCCAGCACTCCTGGCCCGGCACGTCCTTGAAGAGGGCCCAGAGGCGGTCGCCGACCTCGAGGCCCGCGGCGTTGCGCGCCTCTAACGGGACGCCGTCCGGCGGATCGTCCGCGACGGCCGACTCGTCGTCGTCGCCGCCCGGCGGGTCGTCGCCGCCCGGCGGGTCGACGTAGTCCGCGGACGCGGAGCCGCCGCCCGGCGGGTCGACGCCCGGCGGGTCGACGTCGTCCTCGGGCGCGGAGCCGTCGCCGTCCAGCGGATCGTCCGCGACGGCCGACTCGTCGTCGTCGCCACCCGGCTGGTCGTCGCCGCCCCGCGGGTCGCCGCCGCCCGGGGGGTCGCCGTCGTCCTCGGACGCGGAGCCGCCGCCCGGCGGGTCGACGTCGTCCTCGGGCGCGGAGCCGGGGGGCTCGAGCGCGGGCGCGCGCGCCGGGACGTCGCCGGCCGGCGGCACGTCGACGCCTTCGACGCCGACGCCGTGCTGCGCCAGCGCCGCGGCAGCCACCGGCGCCAGGACCGCACGGGCGTCGACGTCGTCCGCGGGCGCGGAGCCGTCGCCGAAGCAGCCGAAGCCGCCGTAGCCGCCGTAGCCGCCCTGGAAGCGCGGCGCCAGCGGCGGCGCGGCCGCGGGCGGTGCCGCGGCGCCCAGCGACGGCGCGACCGCGGGCGGCGCGGCGGCGCCCAGCGCCGGCGGCGGGAGGCCGCGCGCGGCGGCGTCGGCGACGACGTACCACTGGAACTCGTAGACGAGGCCCTTCAACTTCGCGGCGACCGCGCAGCGCTTCTTCGACGTCGACCGCGCGGTCCTCGCGAGTTTGTCTGCGACGGCCACGAAGGCCGCCGCGTGCCGCAGCGCCGATTCGGCGCGCGCGGACCCGGCGCACCGCGCCACGAGGGCGCTCTGCACCTTGTCCATGAACATGTCGTCCTTCAGCAGCCGCACCGCCGTCTCCCGCGCGGCGCCGGACAACGGCGCCGGCGCCGCGGTCGCGGCCGCCAGCGCCGCGACGAAGTCGGACAGCTGTTTGAGGCTGACGAAGGCGCCGCCGTGCGCTTTGAGCGCAACCTCGTCACCCATCGCAGCCGGGCTGCCCAGCCTTGGCCGCACTCTTTACTGCTGCTTCACGGCACCTTCGCTTGGAGGCACTGTCGGCCATACGAGGAGGCTGCCCTCAGAGGACGATGGCCGGGTGTGCGATTTGAATCGCGCGCCTGCGACCTCCACGACCTCCGCGACCGCGTCGACGCCGCCGTCCAAGCTGCCCGAGGGCGAGCGGTCCAAAGCGCAACCGCTGTTGAGTCACCCGGCCTTAGTTCACCGCGAGACTCCAGCAACTGCACATGGATCGTGAGCACGACGCTCAGCAGCGACGCAATCGTCGGCGTCGGCGGCAGAGCGGCCCGCGACCCGGGCGGTCGTGCTCTACCCCGGCGCGCCTGGCGCGGGCGCCCCAGCACGTGCTCGAGACACGAGACGCGCTCATCAAGCTCGCAGGCGCGCCCGCGAGCTGGCGGCCCAAAGGGCCGCTGAGCAAGGTAGCGCTCCGCGCGGCCTTCCAATGGGTGCTCGACGACGCCGACGAGCACCAACGCTCCCGCCCGCTCGAGCGCTTGCGCGAGCTATGGGCAGGAGCAAGGGTGATTGAGTTGGATAGATGCGCGGACGACGAGCCGATGATACCGCCGCACCAAGAAGGCTTCTACACGGACGACGTCGCCGCGGCGAACGAGCTCCACAAGCTCCACGAGGACGTCGTGGAGCCGGTCGTCGAGCAGCTCGTCCAAGAGCGACGCTCGAAGGCGCGCGACGACCTGAAAATTACGCGCGGCTTCTGCCAGGACAGGCTGGTGGCCGCGCTCGACGGCCGCGCCCACGAGGGGCTCGAGGGCGGGCGAGGCGCCGGACGGGGCCGCGTCCCGCGCGTCCTCGACCCGCGGCTCGTGCCCGCGCGCCTCGAGATTCTATCTGAGGTCGTGCGCCGCCGCGCGTTGCGGCGACGCGGACACGCGCCCGCCGCCGACGACACGGCCGACGACGACGACGACGACGCGGGCGCGGGGCCTCGCCTGCACGTCATCGACGCGGCGTTCACTCTGCATGACGACCCAGACGTCGACGTGCAGGCGCGATGGCGAGGCGCTCCGGAGGTGCGAGGGCCGCAGGGCGGCGCGAGTGCCTTTCGTGTCTTGCGTGGCCGGGCGTCGTGCCTCGCCCAAGACCCTTTGCGAAAGAAGATGGTCGACAGCGCTGACGCGATCGCGCGGGCCGTGGGCCAGATCGAGGCGCACGCGCGAGCGACTGAGTCGGAGCCCAACGAGTTTTCCGGACGGAACCTCGAGGCGTCTGCCGGGCGCGCCGTCGTTGCGCGCCTTTCGCGCAACATAGGCCTGAGGCCTTCGGTATATCTTTCGTTCAAGGCCGCGCGGAAGAAGCCTGGCGAGCTGCTCGATCGGGCCGACACGAACCGCTCGGAGGAGCGCGACACCCTCAGCCGCGACCTAGGGCTGGCCGTCGACGAATATCTCGCTACGACGGGCGAACACTTCCACGACGCCTTCCACCCGATTCGCCAGGCGCGGAATTTTTTCGGCTTTAGCTCCGCCTCGCTCTCGGGCCGCGGTGACGAGGGCGCTGCCGAAGATGCGACCGACGTCAAGCCCGGCGGCGCCAAGCGCAAGGCGGCGCCAGCGGCCAAGGGCAAGGCGACGCCGGCGGCCAAGCGCAAGGCGGCGCCAGCGGCCAAGGGCAAGGCGACGCCGGCGGCCAAGGGCAAGGCGACGCCGGCGGCCAAGGGCAAGGCGACGCCGGCGGCCAAGGGCAAGGCGACGCCGGCGGCCAAGCGCAAGGCGACGCCGGCGGCCAAGGGCAAGGCGACGCCGGCGGCCAAGGGCAAGGCGACGCCGGCGGCCAAGGGGGCGCCCGCGCCGGAGGCCAAGGACGGCAAAGCGGCCAAGGGCGGGAATCCCACCGGGGCGAAGGCCGAGGCCGACGCGGAAGCCGAGGCCGAGGCCAAGGCAGCCGCGGAAGCGAGGAAAAAGGTGCGAGCTCTATTCCGGGCTGGTTCGTCTGTTGTGTCTCAAGCTGTCTACGCCAAAGACGCCTGCGTCAGCAACCACGTCGACTCCTCCGACCTCACCCCCGGAATTCTGATCGCCGTCAACATCGGCAAGCGTGGGCCGACGTCGACGTTCGTGTTTCCGCGGCTCAAACAAGCCGTCGTGCTGTACCACGGGGACACGCTGGTGTTTGATTCCAAGGAGGCGCACTGTCTCGGTGAGACGCGCTACGCCGCCCCGACGACCGGTTGGTCCTGTGTAGTTTCGGCGTTCTACAAGGAGGAGCACGTCTCCGTCGCTCCCTCCCTGACTGACCCCGTCCTGTGGCAGGTCTTCCCCACGGTCGGGTCTCCCGTCGCGGCGGCGTCTGTGCCGACGCCGTCGCGCCGCGCGGTGCCGCAGCGCGGCGCCGCCGGGCCGGGTCCGGCCGAGCCGCCGACGGCGAGCTCCAGCGCAAATGCGGACGACGACGTCGTCATGGGCGCGCTCGAGAAGCCGCCGCGACGTTCCTGACGCAGCCCAGCGACCCGCCGCTGCGCGTCCTCGACGGACTGGCACGGCCGCGCTCGCCGTGCCCGACGCGCCGACGGCCGTCGTCCTCGGCGAGGCCTACGACGCCGCGTCCCTCAGCGTCGCCTGGCAGCCGCCGTTCCTCGACGGCGGCGCGACGATCTCCGCCTACCGCGTCGAGATCGACAGCTCCGCGGGCTTCGACTTCCACGGCGACGACTACCGCGTCGACGAGGTCGCCTTCGTCCACGAGGTCCAGACGGTGACGACGCACTTCCGCGCGGCCGAGTCGCAGCGCCGGGGCACGTTCACGCTGTCCTGGGGCGGCAAGACGACGGCCCACCTCGACCACGACGCGTCCGCCGACGAGGTCGCCGACGCCGTGAGCCGCCTCACGGGCGTCTGGGACGTCGGCGTGCCGCCGGTCCGCGTCACGCGGTCGCGCGCCGCGCGCGGCTACGCGTGGCGCGTCCAGTTCGTCGGCGTCTACGGCAACGTCGGCCTCCTCACGGCCGACGACTCCTACCTCATCGGCGACGACGCGCGCATCGAGGTCGAGGAGGTCACGGAGGGCTACTGCGACGTCGTGTCCGGCGGCTTCTCCTACGAGGTGCAGACGGTCCAGGTCGACGCGCTCTCGACCGTGTCGGGCTCCTTCAAGCTCAGCTTCGAGGGCCAGGAGACGGCGTCCATCGCCGTCGACGCGTCCGCGATCGAGTTCAAGTACGCGCTCGAGGCCCTCGACACCATCTTCACGGCCAACGTCGTCGCCGAGGACTACGAGCCGTCCAAGGGGCCCCGCCTCTGGACGGTCACCTACACGCACCAGGCGCACACGCTCACGCAGGGCGCCCAGGACGCGTCGCTCATGGTCTCCGACACCGCGGACCTGTCGCCGTCGTCGACGGCCGAGGTCGTCATCACGGAGCGCATCAAGGGCGCCGACGCCTTCCGCTACGCCTTCGACGGCCTCGACGCGGGCAAGGAGTACTTCGCGCGCGTCACGGCCTACAACTCCGCGGGCTACGGCCCCGTGTCGTCCGTCGCGACGGCGACGCCGCGCACGCAGCCGGGCCTCCCGGGCACCGTCGCCGTCGCCGTCGCCTCCGGCACGTCCCTCGACGTGACCTGGACGCCGCCGAACGACGACGGCGGCGCGCCGGTCCTCGGCTACGACATCGAGTGGTACTCCGAGGAGACCCAGGACGAGGTGCAGGTCGTGACGCTCTCCGCGTCCGACGGCGTCGCGGAGATCCAGTCCGTCACGACCGAGGCCGACACGGACGGCCTCAGCGGCTACTTCACCCTCGAGCTCCGGGGCGAGACGACGGAGATCATCTCCGTCGACGCGCCCGCCGAGGGCGAGGGGTCCGTGAAGACGGCCCTCGAGCGCCTCAGCTCGTCCGGCGAGATCGAGGTCTCGCGCGACTACAGCTCGCGCGTCGTCCGCGGCGTCTCCGTTGCCGCCGGCGAGGGCAAGGGCTTCATCGAGGTCAGCAAGGGCGCCTTCCACCAGACGGGCTCGAGTCGCCTCGACCAGAACGACCTCGTCTTCGTCGCCGGCGAGCAGTTCCGCGTGCGCCAGATCGACTACGGCGCGGGCCGCCTCGAGCTCGGCTCGCTCGACGACTTCACGACGCCCGCGTACTTCGCGGGCGCCAACGTCACCGACGCGCCGCTGACGACCTGGGCCTTCGGCTACGAGTGGACCGTGACCTTCGCGGGCCTCGTCGGCGAGCAGCCGCTCCTCGTCGCCAAGGAGGCGGACCTCTGGGCGGGCACGTCGCCCGTCCTCAAGGTCGAGCGCGTCCGCTTCGGCCAGGCGCCGCTCAAGGGCACCTTCGCGCTCGGCTTCGAGGGCGACGCGACGCCGCCGCTCTCGCACGACGCGACCGCGGCGGACGTCGAGGCCGCGCTCGAGCAGCTCTCGACGATCACCGACGTCGTCGTCGCGCGCACGGTCAACAACAACGGCTACAACTACGAGGTCGCCTTCGGCCACCCGCGCGGCGACGTCTCGACCATGTACGCCCTCGACGACATGCTCACGGGCCCCGACGCCGCCGCGCGCGTCGCGACGTTCACGCACGGCAAGGACCCGGACCACTACGCCGTCGGCGACACGCCCGAGGTCCAGGCCTTCGGCTTCTACCTGCTCCAGGCGGACACGAACCAGGGCTCGCTCGAGGCGACGATGGACGCGCTCGACGCGGACCTCGCGAGCGTCGTCCCGACGTTCGACATCTCGTGGGACATCACGGACTGCGGCTCCGCCGAGGGCGTCAACTTCTGCCAGCTCGGCGTCGACGAGGACAGCGCCATCGGCACCATCTCCTGCGACAGCGACCCGACGAACGACTGCATCGCGGCCTCCATCGACCTCTACGACTCGTCGAACGCGCTCATGTCGACGGCCGACATGGAGACGGCGCTCAACGCCATGTCCTACTCGGGCACGCAGTTCATGATCGACGCCGACGGCGTCGGCGTCAACGTGACGCGCACGCGCGAGATCGTCGGCGACGTCCAGGCCGGCGACGGCTCCGGCACGTCCTGCGCGTCGTGCACGGGCGTCTACCACGTCGAGTACCGCGTCACCTTCACGGGCCGCCACCACCGCGGCAACGTGCCGTCGATCGCGCTCACGACGTCCTCCGCGCTCTCGACGTACTCGTCGACGTACGGCGGCTACACGGCCGTCTCGGGCTCGGACACGATCGGCTACCTCAGCTCCTGCTGCGATTCCACGTGCTCCTCGAGCTGCCCCGACGAGCTCGGCCCCGTGTACCTGGACGACCAGGTCGCCTACTCGATCCTCGAGGGCAACCAGCCCGACGGCTCCATCAAGCTCGAGTACGAGTGCGAGGCGCGCACGTCGCCGCTCGACAGCGCGGCCGTGACCTACGGGTCCACGTCCGCGCTCCTCAACGGCGCCCAGGTCACCGTCAAAAAGGGCGACTGGGTCCGCCTCGGCACGACGTCCGACTCCTACTACGAGGTCGACAAGGTCTACGGCGACGGCTCGTACCAGGCGAACGTCTCCTTCGCGACGGCGTACGCCGGGTCCACGGCCGTGCTCACGGACGCCGAGGTCGGCGTCTTCTACAGCGACCCCTCGTCCGACGACGGCGTCTCCTCGGCCTGCGCGACGTCGCGCGTGCGGTCCACGGACGTCATCAACGTCGACGCGTCCGCGGCGACGTGGTCCTCGACGCTCCGCTCCGTCGCGACGATCGAGTCCGCGTCGGACTACCTCGTCGTCACCGCGGCCAAGCCCCTCCCGGGCAACGGCAGCTACGTCGGCCTCTACGTCGACGTCGAGTTCCTCGCGCAGCACGGCGACCTCAAGCCCATGGTCTGCGACACGTCCTACCTGACGGCGTCGTCCGACGCGACGAGCGCGTACTGCAACGTCACGACGCTCCAGGACGGCTCCCTCGCCGACGGCGACTTCTCGCTCACGACCTACTGGCCCAACGAGCGCGTCGCCAAGCCGAGCCCCTTCAACGCGACGGGCCTCCGCTGGAACTCGCCGTCGGACACGATGGACGCGGTCATGGAGCGCGTCGGCGCGGGCGACGGCGTCAGCCTCGCCTTCGGCCTCGTCGCTCCGCCTACACGCCGTCGACGGAACGCGCTGGTCCGGCGGCTACGCCTGGACGGTCACCTTCCTCCAGGGCACGACGCCCGCGGTGGTCAACGAGGTCCTGCGCACGGGCTCGACGCCCTTCAGCGGCACGTTCTCCGTCGCCTTCAACGGCGCCAAGACGGAGGAGATGGAGTGGCAGGAGGCCGCGGACGAGGTCGAGTACGTCATCGAGAAGCTCGACACCATCGGCGACAAGGTCCAGCTCGAATTCGAGCGGCCGCTGTCCGACGGCGGCACGAACCTCAGCCACTACCTCATCGAGTACGACACCTCCGACACGTTCTCGAGCCCGAAGGTCTTCGACGTCTCGGCGTCCGAGGTCGGGTCTTCAACGTCTCGGCGTCCGAGGTCGAGGCCGCGGCCCTCTACGAGGACGGGCCGTCGGTCGTCTACGCGACGGGCCTGAGCGCGGGCACGCTCTACTACGTGCGCGTCGCCGCCGTCAACACCGTCGGCACCAGCGCCTGGGTGGCGGCGTCGAACCCGACGGCCCCCGCGGCCGCGCCGGACCGCGTCACGTTCTCTTCGACCGGTCCGCGCTCTCGGGTCCCTTTTTCTTGACGGTCTCCGCGTCCGACGGCGTCGCGGAGACCCATTCCGTCATCTACTACTTCGTGGTCCGTGGCTCCGCCGCGTCGACGGCGCGTCGACGCCTCGTCGGCGTGCGCACGCTCAACGGCGTCTCGTCCTTCCGCTCGCCCGGAGCCGACGCGCGCGCGGCGCACGGCGAGTTCCGGTTCCCCAGCGTCAGGCTCGTAGCAGCCCGCCCATAAGAGACGCGATACGTATTAGACCGGGGACACGATTCGTATTAGACCAGGGACGCGCCTACGACAGCGGCCGCAAGCGGAAGGCGACGACCCCCACCTCGGGCTCGACCTCCGCGTAGCTCCGACCGTCGCGGCTGAGCCGAAACTTCCTGTATATAGCCACGCCTTCCGCGATCGTCCGCACGCCGGGCAGGCATCGCCCCAGGCCACAATTTTTGAGCATCGCTTCGAACGAGCGGAACCATCGCACCTCGAGGATGCGGGCGATGACTCGCTCTTCGCCGCTCCCGACCTTGAAGGTCACGTAGTCGTCTTTCAAAACGCTCGTGGCCCAACCCGCGTACGCGCGGCCCTCCCAGGTCTTGGCGCCGCGCAGGATCTCCTGGGCGTACTTGAGCTGCAAGTATGGCTGTCCGTGGCCGCCGCCGACCGCGGCGCCGTCGTCCCAGAAACCGCGCTCCTTGCAAACGTCCCGCGTGCGCTCGGCTCGGAGCGTCTCCTCCGACTTCCCCGGCTTCGCAGACGGTTCCGGTTCGATCAACGCGGCTTTGCGCTTCTCCGACGCCGGCCGCCACTCGCTCTTGCCACTCGGCGGGCACAAGAAGAATCCTAAGACGTTCTGGACGGCGCTGTCGGCCGCGCGCGCGGCGTCGCCCTCGGCCCCCTGGCGGGGGTCCAGGTAGTCGCGCGCCCAGCTCCCGCGCGACTTCTTGAGCTTCCTGTGGTACTTGACCGTGTAGTCCCGCGTCTCGTCCTTCTTCTTGTTGACGTGCTGCATGGAGCAGTAGGTCGTGCAGTCGCCTGCGTCGCCGGCCGCGAAATCAGGGCAGGGTGGAAGAGGGGCGGGCAGACGCGGGCCAACGTGCTCGAGTACCAGACGCCCACGAGGTCGCGCAACTCGAGGTCGTGGTGCTTGACGATGCTGTAGATGATGAGCAGCATCGTCGACTTGCTGAAGTCGAGGCAGAGCTCGACGTCGCAGTCGCCGACGCGCTTGACGCGGTCGACGGGGACGTAGACGAAGCCCGCGTCCTCGACGGCGCCGCGGAGACTCTGGTATCCCGACCCCAGGTCCAGGATCCATAACTTTCCTTTCTCGTTGTTCTTCCGCTCGTTGTTCTCGACGTACATCTCCTCCATGGCCGCGACGACGTCGTCGAGGAGGCCGCGCGGCAGCACGTTCCTCGACAGCCGCTCCTCGGCCGCCGGCCGCTGCTGGCCCCTCTCGGTCTGGCCCCCCATGGTCCGGATGTGCTTGCCGCCGGACTCGCGCCTCTCCGCGCACGGCATCGTCGCCGTGCACTTCGGGTAGAGCGGGAGCTCGCTCATATTGCTCCACAGGTTCTTGTTGTGCTCGAAGTCGCTGGAGTTGCCGTCGTAGCGGCAGCAGCTCGTCTCTCGCCTGAAGGGTTCGTACTCCTCCATCCAGGGCATTTTCTTGAGCATGTTGTCGTTGTTCTCCATGATGAACGGGAACGGCGCGAGGTCGTCGACCTTGCGCTGGAACGCGGCGAGCTCCTTCCTCGTCGCCGAGAGCGGCTCGTGGTGCGTCGCGGCCTCGGGCCGCTGCCGCCGCGCGACGTTCGCGTCGCCGCGGCCGTAGCACTCGACGTCGCAGTCGACGTCGCGGCCGTGCTTGCGCGACGGTCGCGACGTCTGCACGTCGACGTAGAAGTCCGGCTTCTCCCTCGCGGTCGACCTCACCCGTCTCAGCCTCATCACCTCCGCCTGGCGCCTTTCGCTGAGGACCTCGTGCGAGTATACTTCGCCCTCCTTCTTGTCCTTGCGGAAGAGGACCTTGGGCCCACCTTGGACGATCTCGACGACCTCGCCGTAGTACTGGTACTTGCTGTCGCGTTCGTAGACCCAATTGCCGAGGGCCAGCTCGTCGTCGTCGCCGTCGTCGCCCTCGTCGACGTCGTCCTCGGGCACGTCGCCGCCGCCGTCGTCGGCGAGGGGCTCGAGCCCCGCCTCCGACGCCGCGCCGTCGCGGGGCGGCGCGCCCGCGCCGCCGACCGACGGCTCGTCGTCCTCGCAGACGCAGACGCAGCCGCAGGTGTGGTCGGCGAAGGCGCCGGGCTCCTCGAGGGCGACGCGGGCGACGTCGTTGGCGTCGTCCTCGGACGCGAAGCCCTCGTCGTCGCCGTAGACCTCCTCGCGCACCGCTCCTCCGCCTTCCAGCGGCGCGTCGTCGACGGCCAGCTCGTCGTCGACGCCGCCGCCGGCGCCCTCGTGGCTGCGGCCGACGCCGGCCTCGGACGCGGTGACCAGCGGCGGCGACGACGGGACCTCGTGCGCCACGCCGACGCCCTCGTCGGACGCGAAGCCCTGTCCGCCGCCGTAGACCTCCGCGCGCACCGCTCCTCCGCCTCCCAGCGGCGCGACGCCGCCGCGCGGCGCCAGCGACGGCGCGACCGCGGGCGGCGCGGCGGCGCCCAGCGCCGGCGGCGGGAACCCGCGCGCGGCGGCGTCGGCGACGTCGTACCACTGGAACTGGTAGACGAGGCCCTTCAACTTCGCGGCGACCGCGCAGCGCTTCTTCGACGTCGACCGCGCGGTCCTCGCGAGGTCGTGTGCGACGGCCACGAAGGCCGCCGCGTGCCGCAGCGCCGGTTCGGCGCGCGGGGACCCGGCGCACCGCGCCACGAGGGCGCTTTGCACCTTGTCCATGAACATGTCGTCCTTCAGCAGCCGCACCGCCGTCTCCCGCGCGGCGCCGGACAACGGCGCCGGCGCCGCGGTCGCGGCCGCCAGCGCCGCGACGAAGTCGGACAGCTGTTTGAGGCTGACGAAGGCACCGCCGTGCGCTTTGAGCGCAACCTCGTCACCCATCGCAGCCGGGCTGCCCAGCGGCGTTGGCCGCACTCTTTACTGCTGCTTCACGGCACCTTCGCTTGGAGGCACGGTCGGCCCAGGGCCAGGCTCGCTCTGCCACTGGAGTCTAAGCAAGTCTCGGCGAGTGATCGAGAGCTACGCCGCCGCGCGCGCCCGCCCGCGTCCCGACCACCCCTCCCGAACCCGACGCCGCGCGCCCCCGGACGCGTCCACGCCCTCGCCCGCCTCCCCCGCCCACCCATTACACCACTGTAGGCCCTCAAGTGCATCCAGAGCTCCTCTTAAGACCAGTGGTCCTGCACTCCACCAGAGTTGCACGACGACCCGTCGCGCGCGCGTAGACGCGCCGACGACGACGACTCGTCGATGCGAGGCACGGGTGCTGTTTTCGTGTTCCTCGTGCTCATGAGCTCGGCCTCGGGAGGAGCTGTGAAGCGAGCGCTACCTGCTCTGCCGCGCCAAGACGAGCGGTCCGTCCCCGACGGCGTCGCGGGCGTCTCCGGCGAGGGGCCCGGCCCCTCGAAGAAGCAGTGCGGCCCGACGACGCGCTCCGCGACGCGCGACGCGCGCGACGCGCCCGCGGCGCCCGCGAGCGTCGACGACGTCGCGGCCGGCGACAGCGACGAGGAGGAGCTTCCGGAGCTAGACCTGCTCGCGCGCCTGTCCACGGTGCAGCGCGCGCGCCTCGAGGCGCTCCAGGGCGACGGCGGGGTCACGATCTGGTCGTTCGCGTACGCCGTCGGCTACAAAGCCAGCGCGGCGGCCGTAGGCCGGATCCGCGCGATGCTCCGCGCGGTCTGCTACGACGACGGCGACGACGACGCGGCGATTGCGTCGTTGGCCGCGGACATCGGTCTCGAGTGCGACCTCAAGGTCCGCACGCGCAAGGCGACGCGCGAGATGATCGACGCGCTGATTAAAATCTGGTCCCGCGTCCTCACGCTCGGCGGCGATACGGTCCTGCCGCGGGCACTGCGCTGGGCCCTGGCCGTCGTCATGCTCGACAAGATCGACCTCGCGGGCGAGGAGGTCGACGGCGAGCCGCAGCTCGTCGGCCTCCTCCGCGTCCTCGCGGCCGCGGGCATCGTCGAGCAGGACCCGGACGACGCGTCGGTCATCGGCCCCGGCCCCGCGTGGCGCGAGTACGCCGGCGAGCTCAACGGCAACGCGCGGCTGCCGCAACTCGCGGACTTCGTCGGGATTCTGATGGAGATGCGGCTGCTCCGGGGCGTCCCCTGCCCGGGCTGCCTCTGCGCGTCGTGCCACCAGGGCGTGAACGACGTGATGACGCTCGTCGCGAGGCTCCCGGCCATCAAGGCCGCGTTCCCGGAGTTGGGCTTCAAGAGCGAGGCGGAGATCCTCAAGGCCCACGGCGTGCCCGCGACCTACTCCTACGAGCCCGCGGACTCGGAGAAGTACCCGACCATGCCCCTCAACGTGCTCTCGTTCGTCACGCAGCGGAAGATCTTCGGCGAGGTCGCGAGCGGCGCGCGGCCGCGGATCGGCGTGAAGATCATGGACTCGGCCACGGGCAAGTTCGACGGCAAGGTCTGGGTCCTCACGGCCGCCGACGTGCGCAACTGTTCCTCGCGCAAGCACGACGGCTACTCGGCGGAGGTGCTCGACCTCTTCGCCGCGGCCGCCTACAACGCGACGGGCGTCCGCTACGAGCTCCGCGAGGGCGTCAAGAAGGGCGGCGTGTACACAATGAATGTGGGCGTCGGGCCGTCGACCCGCGCCGTCCGAACGTTCTTCCAGCCGCGGATCAAGCTCTACTCGGACCGCAACGACACGATCTCGGGGACCGTCGTCCTCGGGACGGAGTTCAAGATCGTCGAGCTCGACGACGACGGCGAGGAGGGCGCGACGCTGCTCGAGAAGGGCGTCGTCCCCAAGCCGACGGCCGAGGCCATCGCCGGCGCCAAGGCCGCCTTCGCGCGCGACGCGGCCGCGCTGCGCAAGGCGCGGGGCCTGCCCACCGCGGAGGAGAAGGAGCGCGCGCGCGCCGCGAAGAAGGCGAAGAAGCCCAAGGCCGCGAAGCCCAAGGCCGCGAAGCCCAAGGCCGCGAAGGCGAAGCGCAAGGCCGCGAAGCCCAAGGCCGCGCCGGTCGCGCCGACGGTCATCCACGTCCCGCCGCCGCCGCCTCCGACGCGGGAGGAGCGCCGCGCGGCCGTCGAGGCGCTCCGCGCGGAGAAGGCCGCCGCCGCCGCCA